ATGTACTTCGTGGATCGCCAAGCGTCCATCAGATGTGAGATCATAAGTAGACATAAAGCTCTTCTTTATTTGCTGTACTCTCTCCCCTGTAATCTTATCCTAAAGACAGCAGAGAAAACAAACTGGTTACCATGACTACATTTCCATCATTCAACTCTCATTATTTCCCCATCATCACTCATCATAGCCATTGGACTGGAACAGCTGTGCACCAGCTATTCAATGAATATCTGACACAACCTTTATTATAAGCCTTCTTACAGTACATCCCAATAACTCTTATTCAATGGGTTTTAGAATTAGTATCATAGAGGACATTTGTTTGTTTAGTAGGGACAGTGCAAGTTCATGAACATCAGTGTAAAATACAAAATGTAAATATGCTGGATTATAACAACTTTGCTAGAACACTGAACATTTTGATTTCTTGAGACGTTGCACAAATTCCTGAGTAACAGTCTAATTTAACACTCTAAATATATTGATTACGAGTGTACAAGTGCACACACATACTTTTTTAAAACCATGTTAACCATAGTTTCCATCTAAACAGCATAAATACTACAGATATTGTAGCTATAATGAAACTTTTCTGTAGCATTCAACAAGAAAATAAAACAAAATGACAGAAAATATAGAAGAAAAAAAAACATGTTTAGGTCCACAAAGACTTTAAATTCTGTCAAAAGGTGGTCCAGTTTTGTCCAGTGGCAGTGTCTACTAAGTATCTGCTGCTATGAAAGGTAAACATATGTTAAATGGCTGTGTGTGTTATGTTAGAGAGCTAGGAAACATATCCTAATGTGTAAACAGCCAGAGAGCACTTACAAAAAGAGTGCAGTATGTCTAATGTACTTCCATACTAATGTGCTGCACAATGTAATAACACCCGTGTCAAAAACAGTTATAAGAGTGATGTGTTTACAGGTTTTTTTACATTCAAATGTAATAAACCACCTGGACTTTATTTCCAAGTATTTACATACCTTTGGCCCTAATTTTTCCAGTATGTGACGGAAAAAGTCATCCAACTCTTTCCCTTCAATGTAACCATTATCTGCGGAAAAGTATTTATCTTATAATCAGATGAACAGATACAGAGGGTATTTAAATCTGAGCATGCATCACTATGTAAATAATCAAACCTTTAAAAAAACAACAAATAGATCATTTGAAACCAGAATGGAAATTATTTTAAATTCTCACCATCAGCATCAAAGTGTTGCCAGATCTGTAGAAAACCAGCAGCATCTAGATTAGCAAAGGCACAGTCCATGATGGAAATATAAAATAAAAGATAGTGATAGAGCAAGAACAGAAATTTGATGCAGGCAGCTGTGCACAGAGGGGGACACTTTCGCTTGACTCACTGAGAAAACACAGAATAAAACCCCTCCTCTTTCACACCACTCTTTTCAGTCATTTGCTGAAAGACTGATAAGATCTGAGGTCAAACTGGGTAGTTTTCCTTTTTTTTTTTTAAATGCCTGTTTTTTTAAATAGAAATAACCATTAGGTACTGTATTGTATAAACTCTGTAACAACACCATAAGTTACCCCTATGTTTGCTTATGTTTCCCGTTGTTTGAAGATGACTGGTTACTATATTTTCTAGTCTATTATCCACATTAGACAGAACAAACGAGACAGCAAGTTTATGAGTTTATCAACTTAATTTTCTTACTTTTTTCTCTGGGTTCATGGCTGCAGCATGTTTGTGAGGGTGTCTTAAGATCTTAACTATCCACCATTATAAAATAAAGCAATGTTTATTTTACTGTTATTTATTT